AAGAACAAAAATTGAGACGATTTCTATAAAGTATCAACAAATGATACATCCCTTTAAGGAAAGAGATCAGGTTTTTTTTCTTCTGTATTTTCTTAAATTATTTATGCATGCAAGTATTTCCCAAAAGGGAAATAAATATTTAAATTAAAAACAATGACCATAATAACTGACTCCTCCATGTCAACCACATTATTCTCTTTTTTTAATTTTTTACTTATTTTTTTTAGGTGAACACAAGATCTTTATTTTGTTTCTATGTGGTGCTGAGAATCAAACCCAGTGCCTCATGCATGCTAGGCAAGCGCACTACCACTTAAGCCACATCCCAGCCCCATATTCTTCTCTTTACTACCCTGTGTAATTATATTCCTTACATTGAAAGGATTCTCAAAGGCACAATCTTTGGCCAAGTTCAATAATTCATAAAATTACATGTTTAAAAGTTAAGTTTAAGTCAAAGAGAAAACAGATGCCTTTCTTTGAAGGATACTAATTGATTTATTTATTTATTTATTTATTTTTTAGTGATAGACACAATAACTTTACTTTAGTTAGATTTATGTGGTACTAAGGATCAAACCCAGTGCCTCACATGTGCTAGGCAAGTGCTCTACCACTAAGCCAAAACCCTAGCCCCACTAACTGATTTTTAAGAAGAATATTCTATCTCATATGTAATTAGCAAATTACAGAGTGCCTTAAATTATGTTACTTGACAATGAAAAGTTACATATGGCAGTAAGACCAGTTACTGTAGATGATGAATTATTGTAATTATTTTAATTGAATGGATAAATGAATAAACAGAGGTAAGTCTTTTTTTTTATAATGAATGGATATTCAAAGAGAAAATGAGAATCAAGAAGTTTTCCATTACACAAGCAATAGCACCACCTGCTGATAAATAAAAGCAACAATGTCAATTTATTAAGAATTACAGTGGATGGGGTAGAGAGAGAAGATGGGAGGGGAGGGAGGGGGGATAGTAGAGGATAGGAAAGGTAGCAGAATACAACAGTTACTAATAGGGGATTATGTAAAAATGTGGATGTGTAACCGAAGTGATTCTGCAATCTGTATTTGGGGTAAAATTGGGAGTTCATAACCAACTTGAATCTAATGTATGAAATATGATATCAAGAGCTTTATAATGTTTTGAACAACCAATAAAAAAAATAAATTAAAAAAAAAAAAGAATTGTATGCAAAAAAAGAGAGCTCATGTAAAATGGCATAATTCGGCGTGAACATACTTTATATAGAGAGTTATAAAAAATTGTGCTGTTAATGGATAATTATGAATGTAATGCACTACACTATTGTCATCTATGTAAGGAATAAATAAAAAAAGAAAGAAAAAAAAAAAGAAGAAGACACCAAAGGTAATTATATATTCAGATCTTTTCTCTTGAATTCTATTAACATAATAAAACTCATTAATATGTTCTGGATATTTACTTATATATAACTATGTTAATTTGAACTTCTGTGTCTTACATATTTGAATAATGCATTTCTTAAAAATCAAAGATAAAAACAAAATTTATTATGGAACCTAAGAAAAAAGTATGGTACTATGGCTCTAATTTTTATTCTACAAATAATTCACTGTACTATAATTTATTATGCTAACCACCCAGAAGTGTATATTTATTTTGTACAGTTGTTTTTATAATCCTTGATTATGCCTAAAAATTATGTTGTCTTACTTTCCCAGTTTAATTTTTATAGCATTCATGATGCTCCTTTTATTTATTTTTGTTTATACACTTTTATCTACTGAAATAAAAAGAAGGCATTTGTATTTCTTTGCTTGTGAAGTATCTGTTTATTTCATTTGCCCATTTATCAATTGGGTTATTTGTTTTTTCAGTGCTAAGTTTTTTGATTTCTTTATATACTCTGGATATCCTCTGTCCGAATAATGTTATGGTTTAGATATGAGGTGTCCCCAAAAGCTCATATGTGAGGCAATGCAAGAAAGTTCTGAGTGAAATGACTGGGTTATGAGAGTCAATGTGTTAATCCGCTGATAGGGATTAATTTGGTGGTAACTGTAGACAGATACAGTATAACTGAAGAGATGGCTCATGGGCATGCCTTTGGGGTTTATATTTTGTTCTTGGTGAGAAAAGCTCTCTTTCTCTGTTTCCTGGTGCCATGTAACGAACTGTTTTCCTTGACCACATCCTTCTGCCCCAATGTTCTGCCTCACCTCGGGTCCAGTGTAATGGAGTCAGTCATCTATGGACAGAGACCTCTGAAACCGTGAGTCCCCAAATAAACGTTTCCTCTTCTAATTATTCTTGCCAGGTCTTTTTGTCATAGCAGTGAAAATGCTAACTAAAACAAATAGCTAGCAAAGATTTTCTCCCATTCTGTAGGTTCTCTCTTTATACTATTAACTGTTTCTGTTACTGTGCAGAATCTTTCTTATTTGATGCCATCCCATTTACTAATTCTTGGTATTGTTTCCTGAGGTTCAGGAGTCCTATTGAGGAAACTGTTATCAGCATTTATATGGTGAAGTGTTGATCCTACATTTTAATGGTTACAAAGGTTCTAGTGTAAATCATAGGTCTTTAATCCAATCTGGGTTGGCTTTTTTTGTGCAGGGTGAGAAACAACTTGAGGACAAATCTTTACATTTTATTTAATATTTTAAACCCAATTTTCTAGGACACTGGCTGATTCATAGTATGAATTTAATGCTTATTGAATAAAAAAACATATATTTAAAATGTTAAGTCTCAAGTATTAAAAATTATTATAACACAGTTCATTCAGTTTATTTTTCTAGAATTATTAACATTATAAGAAAAGGTATTGTGCTTAATGAGGTTAATTTTTAATTGTTATTCAGATTAACTTAATCCCTCAAGTTTCTAAAACCTTAAATATTTTTAATCAGGGCTGGGGCTGGGCCTCAGCAGTAGCGCACTTGCCAGGCATGTATGAGGCACTAAGTTCGATTCTCAGCCCCACATATAAATAAATAAAATAAAGGTCTATCAGCAACTTAAAAAAAATTTAAAAATATTTTTAATCAACAGGCAAATTAAAATTATCATATTTAAATTCAGTTATTAACAAATAATTTAATATTGACTATATTGTATAGATAATAAGGAATCTTTAAACTATAAAATCTTATAAACTAGGGAGTCAAAAATAATATATGTAAAACTAAATTGGACAACGTAAGTGCAAAATACATTGTGAAAATGAGACCACATAATTCTATAACAGCATCATTAATAAAAAACCTGAGGTACAGGTCCTTAAGTCCAAAAACAAAACAAAAAATATCCTTAAGTAATAAGATTATTTAACATCCGGATATTATAGCTAAGGGAAAAATAAAGAGACCTAAGGTGAGAGAAAGTTAGGAAAATAAACTTTAGATTGACTATAGAAGGCATGAGAAAGTCAAACATGAGATAAGTCTTAAAGAACAGAAAGAATTCCACTTAGTATAAAACAGAGGAGAGAATATGCCATAAAAAGAGTGAGGATGTTAGGGACAGGCAAGATTCATGAGCCAGTATTCAACCTGATTTGAGCACACGTACAAATTAGAGAGTTGGAGAGGAAAAGACTGAATGGATTTAATGGTACCAGGTTTCAGAGAGCTTCCAAAGCCAGGCAGAGGGCTAAAATTTTATGTGATGAAAAACAAGTAACCAGAAAACTGATACATCGTTTAAAAAGCTCTAAAAGTTCTAACTACCTTGTTTTGCATTTGAAGAAAATGAGCCATGGAACAATAATGTGATTTGCTTATATTTAGAAATAGTATGGAAAAGCCCTATTGCTATAGTTTGGATCTTAGATGTTCCTTTAATAGGGAGATAGTGGAACCTTTAGAAGGTAGGGCCTTGTGGTAGGTCCTTAGGGAGGTCTTCTGGTCACTGGGACCAGCAGGGGACTGTGAGACTCCAGCCAGTCCTTTCTCTTTTGCTTCTTGGATGATGAGGTGAGTGGATTACTCTACCACACACTCCTGCTGCTATATCATAGGCTCTTTTAGACATGGAGCCAATTAATCCTGGACTGGAACCTCCACAACTACAAGCCAAGATAAATCTTTTCTCTTCATGATTATCTCAAGTATTTTTTATACTGATGAAAAGTTGATCAACAAGTCCAAACTATTTTTACCACAAACTGCCACTGTTTGGGGGCATTCTTCAAGAACAATAGATAAATATTGTTAAGCTGGTTGTTTGCCTAGATTTCAATGAGAAGAAATGTATAGTATCAAGAGGAAAAATTCTCCCATACTTTCAAAAGTTAACTTTTTTTTATTTTTTTGAGATATTAGGGATTAAACCCAGGGCTTTCTACCATTGAGTTATATCCACAGTCCTTTTTATTTTTTATTTTGAGACAGAGTCTCACTGCCTAGGCTGACCTCCTAAATCACTGGGATTACAGGCATGTGCCACTATACCTGACTCAAATATAAATTCTTAACAAAAAGAAATATGTCCTTTGGTTTCAAAATGACCAGTTTTTAAATTTACTATTAATTTTATGCAAAAATATGACTAACATTTTATATGAAACATACCAATAACAAAAACATTTAAAACTATTTTCCATATTGAATGGGCAAAAATTTTAATATTTCACCATCTTTCACAATCATGCTCAAAACAAACATTTCCAGAAAGTCAATGAGTATAGAGAACATATCCATTCTTTAAACTTACAGTTTGGTTTCATAAATCTAGAATTGATTGAATCAGTATATTAAGACAAATCAGAAATTTACAGTCAAATGCATTCATTAAGGGATGTTAATGTTAAAGAGTGTTTGCCTGATGTGAGGGAGGGTCTGGATTCAATCTCCAGCACTGCAGAAAGAAGGAAGGAAGAAAGGGCATTCACTGAAAATGTTTTTTTTTTTTTTTTTTTTTTTAAGGACTGAGAACCAGGTGTGTGTGCATGACCACATTTATGACAGCACATGTGTAATTCCTCACAACTATAACTTACCCCAGTTTTATCACACAAGCGTAAAGTATGAAACGATCCAACAGCAAATAATTCTCCATCTGGAGCCCAGGCAACTGAGGTAATAGGATGCTCATGGGGTTGTGAACTGTATAGGAGGCGGCCATAACTATCCCACACCTATAAAAGCAAAAAATTTTTAAAGTCTTATAATAATCACAACATTGCTATAAACAAGTTTGTCTTCTAATAAGGTAGCACATAAAGTTTAAGAAATGACCACCTTATAATATTAGTAATTAAATGTCTTTACTACTATACAATAGAGAGGGGAAAAAGCTGTATTCCTTGAAACCAAAATACATTGAAAATATTTTAAAACATTATTATAATTTTCAGATTTTACTAAACTTTGGATTAAACATTAAACCTACCCATTCTAATCCATATATATACTAAAATAAAATTGAACCCCTATCTCTCACCCTGCATAAAACTCAATTCAAGGACTTAGGCATTAGACCAGAGATCCTGTGCCTACTAGAAGAAAAAGCAGGCCCAACTCTCCATCATGTCGGCTTAGGAACTGACTTCCTCAGTAAGACTCCTAAAGCAAAAGAAGTAAAATCAAGAGTCAATAAATGGGATGGAATCCAACTAGAAAGCTTCTTCACAAAGGAAACAATAATGTGAGCAGACAGCCTACAGAATGGGAGAACATCTTTGCCACCTACACCTCACATAGAGCATTAATCTCCAGGATATATAAAGAACTCAAGAAACAACACACAGAAAAAAATAATAATAATACAATCAATAAATGGGCTAAGGAACTGAATAGACACTTCACAGAAATAGTATTACAATCAATCAACAAATATAGGAAAAATGTTCAACATCTCTAGCAATTAGAGAAATGTAAAAATCAAAACTACATTGAGATTCCATCTCACTCCAGTCAGAATGGCAATTATCAAGAATATAAGCAATAATAAATGTTGGTGAGGATGTAGGGGAAAAGTACATTCACACATATTGCTGGTAGGACTGCAAATTGGTGCAACCATGATGGAAAGCAGTATTTAGATTCCTTAGACATTTAACCCTGTTACCCCACTCCTTGGTTTATACCCAAAGAACTTAAAATCAGCATGCTACAGTGAGACAGCCACATAAATGTTTATGGCAGCTCAATTCACAATAGCCAAACTATGGAACAAACCAAGATGCCCTTCAACAGATGAATGGATAAATAAAATGTGGTATACATACACAATGGAATATTAGTCATAAAAAAAATGAAATTATGGCATTTGCAGGTAAATGGATGAAGCTAGAGAATATCATGCTAAGCCAAATAAGCCAATCCCACAAAACCCAAAGGCCTAATGTTTTCTCTGATATGCAGATGCTAATTCATAATAAGGGAGTAGGAGCTAGGGAAGAATAGAATTATTTTAGGTTAGACAGGGGGGTGAAGGGAGGGAAGGCGATACGGGGGTAGAAAAGATAGTAGAATGAATCAGATATTATTACCCTAGTGCATATATGATTACACAAATGGTGTGATTCCCCATCATGCACAACTAGTAGAAAGAAAAGTTATATTCCATTTATGTATGATGTGTCAAAATGCATTCTACTGACATGTATAGCTAATTAGAACAAATTTTTTAAAAATCAATAAATGGGATGGTATCAAACTAAAAAGCTTCTTCACAGCAAAGGAAACAATCAAGAACATAAAGAGAGAACCTACAGAATGGGAGACCATTTTTGCATTAATTTCCAGGATATATAAAGAACTCCAAAAACTTAACACCAAAAAAAAAAAACAAATAACCCAATCAACAGATGGGCTAAGGAACTGCCCAGACACTTCACAGAAGAAGAAATACAAATGGTCAAAAAAAATATGAAAAAATGTTCACCATCTCTAGCAATTAGAGAAACACAAATTAAAACTACACTTAGCCAGGCACGGTGGCGCACCCCTATAATCCCAGAGGCTAGGGAGGCTGAGAAGGAGGATCATGAATTCAAAGCCAGCCTCAGCAAAAAAGAGGCGCTAAGCAACTCAATAAGACCCTGTCTCTAAATAAAATACAAAATAGGACTGGGAATATGGCTTAGTGGTCAAGTACCCCTGAGTTCAATACACGGTACCAAAAAAAAGAAAAAAATACACTGAGATTCCATTTCACTCCACTTAGAATGGCAATTATCAAGAATACAAGCAACAATAAGTGCTGACAAGGATATGTGGGAAAGGTACACTCATACATTGCTGGTGGGACTGCAAATTGGTGCAACTACTCTGGAAAGCAGTATGGAGATTCCTTAGAAAACTTGGAATGGAACCACCATTTGACCCAGTTATTCCTCTCCTTGGTTTATACCCAAGGACTTAAAATGAGCATACTACAGTGATGCAGCCACATCAATGTTTGTAGCAACTCAAATCACAATAGCTAAGCTATGGAACCAACCAAGGTGCCCTTCAACAAATGAATGGATTTAAAAATGTGGTATATATACACAATGGAATATTATTCAGCCATAAAGAATGAAATTATGGCATTTGCTGGCAAATGGATGGAACTGGAGACTATCATGCTAAGTGAAATAAGCCAATCCCTACAAACCAAAGCCTGAATGTTCTCTCTGATATGTGGATGCTAACATATAATAAGGATGGGGAGAGAAGAATAGAAGTTCACTGGATTACACAAAGGAAATGATAGGAAGGGAGGAAGGATAAAAACAGTAAAGACAGTAGAATGAATTAGACATAGCTATCCTATGTTCATATATGAATACATGACCAATAAAACTCCAGAACATGTACAACTGCAAGAATGGAATCCTAATTAGAATAAGTTCCACTCCATGTCTGTATGTCAAAATAAAAAAATGTTTTCAATATGTTAAAAAAAAAAAACCTCCACATTTTAAGTTCTTTAAATTTAATAGTAACATTTTGAGATGTCTAGTATTTTGTTTGAGTTTATAAAATTTCTCTAAAAGAATTTATTTCAATTAAAGTTCCTGTAAGTTACTTTAATCTTATTTTGGGGATACACATCAGTAGTAGAGTGCTTCCTTGACCTGGATTTAATCCTCAGTACCACAAATAAGGGGAAAATAAGTCTTATTCTTCCCCATAAATAATTTTGTTCTGAAACTGATTAATGTTCAGTAAACCAACAGGGTTTGTTTCCAAAAATTTAAATGAGCTGATTTAAACTAAAATAAAAATAGGGGTTATATTGATGTTGCCACTTATTAAATCAAATTCTATAAGCCAATGAGACAGTTATTACAGTAGAACTTTAAAATACCTTTTAAAATTAGAAAATAATTTGCTAAATTGTTAGAGTTAAAAGTAATACCTAATGTGGGGCTGGAGTTGAAGCTCAGTGGTAGAGTGCTTGCATAGCATGTGTGAGGCACTGGGTTCAATTCTCAGCACCAAATATAAATAAGTAAATAAAATAAAGGTCTATGAACAACCAAAAAATATATATTTTAATTTTTTTAATATTTAATTTTTATTCATAACTGGACACAACATCTTTATTTTATTTATTTTTTTTATGTGGTGCTGAGGATCGAACCCAGGGCCTCGCAAGTGCTAGACCACCGCTCTACCACTGAGCTACAACCCCAGCCCCAAAATATTTTTTAAAACAAGTAATACCTTATGTAAAAGAATAAAATAATATTCTTAAACGCTAAATACTTTTTGCCTAAATTTGATTCTCAGGCAGATGACAAGCCTAAACATTACATACCTTATATTTACAATCTTCACCAGCAGATAAAATAAGATCATTGACTGAGTTCCAATCAACTTTTAAAATAATGCCATCATGAGCTTTCCACTATGGGGGCAAAAAATAAGATATTAATTATAACTTTAAAAGTGATGTCTATTTTTATGAGAAAAGAAACTTTACCTTTTTTCTTTTTCTCACTATATTACCTATGCTAGCTTTGAACTCCTGGGCTCAAGTGATCCTCCTGCCTGAGTCCCCTATGTAGCTGGAACTATAGGGACACACTGTCATACCCAGCTCTTTTCCTCTTTCTCATGATTCTTTTACCATCTCTTCCAGAATTCTTATCTTACTGTTTGATTTCTAACTTATATCAGTGAAAGCACCTAGCACCATGACATCGACTTTATGGCTTTCATCCCCATGAATTTGCTCAGTTGCCTAGACTCAAGATGGAAAATCACTTGCTGCTGAACTTTTTATATTTGTGTGTTAACACTGGAATAAAAATATATACTCCAAAATATCAGGAGTATCTAAATCTTGCTATCTTCTTTGTATATTTGATCCCACTATTGAAACTGCCTTTATGATTGTTTACTAATTCCCTTTTTCTTTTTTTTTTTTTATTCCTGTTTTGGGAACCCAAGTTCTCTCAAAGCATCTTCTACTACTGAGCAATAATCACAGACTAGTTTCTTTCTCTCTCTCTCTCCATTTTTTTTTGTTCTTCTTGTTGTTTTTCTTTTTCATAAACATCTTCTTTAGTACCCTCTTCATTCTCTTCTGTATATTCCCATAAGTTTCTTTCTCTTTACCTTCGACTTTGGTTCACAATTAGACTACTTAGAATCTTCTGTTGCATTTACCATATAATTAAAAAAGTCTTTCACACATAAAAATATTGTGTGTACACATATATAAATATATATATATATACATACATACATACATATATATATATATATATATATAGAGAGAGAGAGAGAGAGAGAGAGAATATACATAGAATACATATACATGGATATGTATAAGTCACCCAGAAATTGGCAAACTAGAAAGTAAACATGGAAACCTTGGTCTTAAATGTAATTCATGTCCCGATTTAGTTATTATTACACGTGTCATTAAGTGCTAACGTAGGCAGAATAATATAAGTAAAAACAATTAACTTTCCTTGAAGATTTCAGGGTATGTTTCAAATGTCTGAGCCATTTAACTTCATATTAGATTTTAAGGGGTTTCTCTTTATATCCTTTACAATTTTTGTCATTAATAAAAACAGAAGAAAATATTAAATTACGATCAAACAATCTCAAAGATAAGCAATAATTTATAGCTTGCTTTATTCAGAATTGCAAAATTACACATTTTTAAAAACAAATGTTTTGGTAATGCATGTTTTAATGCAATAGTTCTCACAATTAACTGTGAGAATCAATCCAATATCCTGAAATAAATGAAAACATTACAGAGACATACAGATATACACACACATAGATGATCTCAAGAGATTCTTTTCAAAGTTACAAAATAAATTTTTACACATTCAGAATTCATGAACAACTACTTTACTGAATACTTGAATGGATAAATTTGAGGGTAAGTGAATTATATCTCTTTAAAAAAGGTAAAAAAACTATGAACAAAATATGAATTAAATTTTCTTTATAAAATTTCAGGTACTAGCTTATATGTTACATAGACATTTATATATTACATATAATTCATAGAAAACTTTCAATGATTTCTCAGCTTATTAGGCATTTTATTAAATCCCTTTGAACAACAAACACCTTAAAGCTAGGAACTATACTCCATTTCTTTCTCTCTCTTTTTTCCTTTCTTTCTAAATAAATTTAGGACAAATATTTTTTATCTGTGTGTGTAATATTAGGGATTGAACCCAGAGCATCATGCATGTGCGAGGCACTGTGTTACATCATAATCACCACATAAAAGTAAAATAAAGGTATTTATTGTGTTCACCTACAACTAGAAAATAAATATTTAAAAGTAAACAAGTTCTAGATGTGTCTAGAAGGTCTTTTAAACAGCATTCCACAAACAAGAATTAATAAAGCATTTCCTTTTATGTACAATCTAAATTCAAATGTGTTTATCCTCAAGGAAATTGCTGCAGGTTTAGTTTCCCAAAAGGAATTTGCATTAACTTGCTACTTATATTTTAACTCCTTTTTTACTATAGCTGAATTTTGATAATGAATACTTTTCCTTCTCTCCACCACCTTCTAGCTCAAAGGTTCTACCAAATCCCTAAACTACATTCAAACCGATCAATTGTGAAAGAAGCAATTCTAGACATAAGCAGTTTCATTTATATAGCCTAACTGCAATTATCTAAATTCACATAACCAGAAACTAAAAGTTTAAGGTATAAACTGAAAGATTCAACTTGTTTGTTTTTACTGTATAATTTCATAGCAGATTTTCAGAGTGTAAGTAATTGGTATGAAAGGACTTTGACTAGTCCTCTTTTCTCTCAGCTTCTTCTCTTTGCTCAAATTCCTTACCTTAGTTGCATAAGGACTTATATCTTCTATTGCGTGTTTTTTCCCACAGTTCTTAGAGTGCTCTACATGCAGTAAAAATGTAAATGCTGTTGACTATAAGAAAAATTTATTTTCTCTCCTTACTCCCTGAAATCTATCTTAACTATTGAATCTAATGCTTCTTAAAACACTTTTATACCCACTATAATCTGTCAATCTCCATCACCAAATTCCTTGCCCAGGAACTAGTCATTCTACATCATTTTTTTCTGACCTCCCTAGTTGATTAAAAGGTAGAGAAGGTATATTAACTCATAAATAACATAATAACATATATTAAAACTACTCTCTTTTTTTGGCAGTACTGAAATTGAACACAGGCCCTTACACATTCTAGACACGCCCTTACAACTTAGTTACATGCTGGGCCCTTTTTTTGAACTTTATTTTGAGGGTCTTGCTACATTGCCCTGGCTGGCCTTGAAGTTGCTATTCTCCTGCATCAGATTCCTGAGCAGCTGGGATTACAGGCATATGCCATTTTGTCTAGCTATAATTACTCTATATTGAATACTTACTACATGCCAGGCACTGTCCTATGCACTTTATAATTTAACTCATTTAATCCTCACAATAATCCAAATAGGTATTGGCATCACCAACTAAGATAACAAAAAGCTGATGCCCAAGGATATTTCATAACTTACCTAGGGTAAGGGAAGATGTGAACTCAGGTGACTGAATAGAAAGCTTATGTTCTTATTACTAAATTATGATGTGTCATTATCAACATATGAAGAAAATCATTCTCTTTTTTGAGGGATTGAATTCTGAGGCACTTAACCACTGAATCAGAGTCACATCCCCAGCCCTTTTTACTTTTTATTTTTGAGACAAAGAGTTTGAACTTGCAATCCTCCTTCATCAACCTGGGATTACAGGTATGTGCCACCATGCCCAGCTTCATTCTGCCTTTTAACACTGGAATCAAATAACAAAATCTTGATAAAGGCTTGTAAGTTTTCCATTCATTTGTCTGAACTTGACCTGTCTCAGTGCCCCCCCCCCTTTTTTTTTTTTGCTTGCTTTTGTGTGGTTCTGTACTTGCCCCTTTATCTCATATTTCTGAATATTTTCTGCTTCCTGGGCTTAGAACAACCTTCCCTCTTCTCCTTGAAGATTCAGCTCCTAACTAAACTCTTCTTTCTGAACAGTACAAAAGAAAATGTGAGCTAAACACTTATCCTTAAGATAATTGTTTTCTATGTTATTTGAAAAGTTATATATACATTATTTGTTCTAAGTATTATATTGACAACTCCTCCACTCTGAAAATACTAAGAATGCTAGGCTCTAGGAAACAGTTCAAGTATTTTAACAGATGATGAAGATAAAACACAAAGTCTAAGCAAGCTCTTAAAGTTTCATGATTTTGTTTTATTTTGAGTCAAATCTATACATTTGAGGTTGACTGTTAAACTTAAACATAACCCAGTAGTGCCAAATCTTACAACAATTCAATAGCTCAAAACATTTTTATGATATACTGGTATTATAATGTAAGTTGGAATAAGGGGGAAATGAACTTTGCCAGAAACATAAACAGATATTCCTGTTCTATTATTAAGACTGATAAGACCACACATTTAAATCCTTTAGACTAAAAAGACCACCCAGAAGAAAGCACCCTCTACCTTAGCAGATAGGCAGATCCTGATATTCATTTTAAAATGCCTAAGAAGTTACCTGTAAAATTTTAGCATTTGGTTGAAGAGGTTTAATGACCAGCTGTTTGCCTGCTGTATAAAGAACCTTTTCTGAATCAGGGCCCCATGCTACTGAATACACTGGTGTTCCTATAAAAAAGAAGAAACAAAAATGACTGAAAAACTTTCACTATTATGCCTTATAAAAAGGGAGACTATTAAGAGAATCAATAAAGCAATCTGGTATGTTATTTCATCTTTTCCTACTTAATGGTCCTTTCAAACTAGAAAATAGCCTGATATTAAAATACAGACTGAGTTAATACTGACCATTAAAAATCTACTGTAAGCCACTGACATGTTGTTTTTTGTTTTTTTAAATCCATTTTTATTGGTATACTATAATTTTAAATAATAGTGAGATTCATTATGCCATATTCATATGCATATAATTTGATCAATTTCATCCCCCAGCTCCTTTTACTTCCTTTTTCCCTCCCCTCCATCCACTTATAATATTCTATTCAAAGTCTCTTCCATTATTCTTATCACTACTTTAATTAGTACATTATAATTATTTGTATAAGCAGTATTTGTTAAGGTATATTCATGCAAGGATATAGGATAATTTGGAAGATTTCTTTCTTCAGCACTTCCCCATTTTCTCCCCTCTTTCCTCCCCTCTGGAGCCCTTCCTCTACTCTTTTGATCTTCTAATTTTGTAAGATCCACTTTTTTTTTATTTTATTTTTTTCTTTCTATCTTCTACATAGGAGAAAATATTCAACACTTGACTTTCTGAGTTTGGCCTATTTCACTTAGCATGAAGTTCTCCATTTCCATCCAATCAGAAAATTTTCATTCTTCCTTATGGCTGAATAAAACTCTATTGTTTATAAATGACATACTAGAAATTTTTCTTTTCCAACCTTTTTATTAGTACATTATAGTTGTACATACTGATGGAATTTGTTGTTACATATTCATACATGCACATGATACATAATATAACATTATAATTTGGCCAATATCATTCCTTAGCACTTTCTCCTACCTCCTCACTTCCCACTTCTCTTTTCTCTATTGATCACCTTTTGATTTTCATGAAATCCTCCCCCTCTTCCTTTCTTTTCCTTTTTCCTCTCTAGCTTCCACATATGAGAGAAAACATACAACCATTAACCTTCTGAGTTTGATTTATTTAGTTCAACATAATGGTCTCTAGTTCATCCATTTTCCTGCAAATGACATTTTTCCTATGGCTGAATAAAACTCCATGACATTTTCTTTATTCATTCATCCAACATACTATATTTTAACTAATTTGGATCTTGCTGAGAAAATATGGAGTTCTCAGAAATTTCAGATAGTACACTATCAAAATATATAAAATATACTTCATTTTTAAAGGTATCAACACATATTAGAAAAGTCATGATTTATCATTTCCCATCAACAGCCACTAATGTTTAAACTTATTTAAGCATAGGTGAATAAATTGTCCATGTAAAAATGTATTGGTTTACTTACCTTATAGACTAAAAATTCTCAAACCTGAGTCAATTCCCATTCCTTATACTATAATAGGCAATAGAATTCTCTAGACTACTTGACCACCAACAGAAAAGGCCCAGTGGCCCGCGGC